TCTACTTCAATTCGACAAGGGATGTCTATGTTTTCCTTATGTCAGTATCATTGTATCAGTTATTAGCTACAATTTGGTAAGTGGTTAGGGATGTATTTTTCAATATATATGTATATATATATATATATAAACCAAATGTGCTTTATAATTATAGCTTTATTAAGAATATCGGCCTCTATATCAGCATACGCTAATTTCATTGTTTAAGAACGGTACAACGAAAACATTAAATCTAATGTAAATATAAGGGTCGTAGGGGCACTACACACAGTGCAGTCGCAGTAGAAGTGATGTTTCTTCCTAGATAGCCTGACGGAGAACAGATTTTCCTTCGCCTAGACTGGTTACCACCCAAGGCTATAGAACCCAGCCTCTTCTGCCATATACCCATAGCTGGGGCTGTGGAGAGAAGAAGAGGATTCATACCATTCCCAAGGGTATTAGCACGTAAGAAGTGATGTTTCTTGCTAGATAGCCTGACGGAGCACAACTCTCTCCAGATTTTCCTTCACCTAGACTGGTTACCACCCAAGGCTATAGAACCCAGCCTGTTCTGCCATATACCCATAGCTGTGAGGGTGGGGAGAACAATGGGATTCACACCTTTCCCAAGGGTATTAGCACGTAAGTGAATGTAATGGATCCGACTGGAATTCGAACTCCACTCTCAATATAAGCCACTATCCATTACTCCACCGTGCATCTCTCTCTGTATCTCTCTCTCTATATATGTATATATATATATATATATATATATATATATATATATATATATATATATATATATATATATATATATAACTAGACTCGTTTTGAAAAACCTCGAATTTTGATTTGCTAATCAAATCAATCTCGAGGGAAAAAAAGGTTTTAAAAAAGAAAGAGCTACAAACATGAACTTCTGCCGACAAAAAAATCGCACAGATGCAGGTCTGAAGCCCAAAGAAAAAACCCTGATACGAGTAAACAACTAACTAACAAAAAGCGCTCAATACAACCGTAGAGCAGACCTAGATACAGGTGTTACTAGGTGTATCTATCTATCTATATCTATATATATATATATATATATATATATATATATATATATATATATATATATATATATATATATATATATATATGCTTTTTGAAAGCATCGTTCGATATCCCAATCAGCCTTTCGGGTTTTCGCTGTCACATTTTCCGACCTCAGTTAAGACCCTATTTGAGCTTTCTTACATATATTTGTATACCTGTTTAACAGTAAAAAGCTGTTACCTTTACAGTCAGCCTTGACGAATATGTTGTTTTCATTTTACCTAAAGAGACCAATAAGCAAACATCAATAAAATGATAGGGTCTTCTTTTTTCTAAATGAGGGATAAAAAAAAAAAAAGTAAAAAGAAACATCTAACCAGCAACTGGCAACGATGCTGAAAGTTGATTGATTTGCGATTTGCTAATTTGTAATGCGTCTCATCCCCGTGCACAAAACTGCGCAGAAAGACTCGTAAGAAGCACCGCTGGCAGAACACGAGACATCAGAATGAGGCTAACGACAGATTCAAGTGATTTGTGCATATTCTGTTGGAAAGTGAACTAGAGAGTTAGTGATTTTGAAAAATGACTGGCGTTTATCCTCCTGACTGGATGAGCAACGAATCGATCAGGCTAATAAATCGCTTAAATCAAGATTTGAATTGACACACGTCATTAATGTGCTGCCAAAAGTGACTGCAAAAGAAGTCTAAATAATAATAATAATAATAATAATGATAGTAATAATAATAATAATAATAATAATAATGATAATAAATGATGAAAAACAATTGATATGAGACGCAATAGAAAATTTGTAGAAAAATTGTATCACTGTTTTTGCTCTTCCATTAGCCCGAAAAAAATAAGGGTCGATTTTAACACGAACTATTTAGAAAATTAATGGTTATAAAATATAAAGAGTTGGAATCAATTTGCTATATGATGATAAAAAGAATTTTTTTCGCCAAAATGGCGAAAAAAAATCTCCCTACGTCTAATATGAAAAGTTGAGGCCTCCCTCAACTAATTTTATAACGAACGCTTACTGCAATATAATATATAATATAATATATATATATATATATATATATATATATATATATATATATATATATATATATATATATGGGTGTATCAAAATTACTTTTACTGAAAAGAACACTGTTACTACACGCGTTAAACGTTGAAGACAGACTAGCCACAATTGTACACGAATGACAAATGTAACCTAGTTTACATAGCAAAACAGCGCCATCTACCGTATTTTTAAAACTTAATAACTCAAAAACAAAGGATTTGCAAACATATGTTTATGCAAACCTTTGTCCTTATTTTTGAGGAACCCGACCCCAAAGTTTGTAAAAGTATTTTGATATATCCTATATATATATATATATATATATATATATATATATATATATATATATAAAAGTGGACACTGACGTCAACACCAAGCGTTGGTATTAACTTTAGTGTCCATTTTTATATTTACATACGCTCTATCTCTGATATTTAGCACGTTTACTCATAAACAATACATTCAAACTATATTTTTATCATTTCTATCTATCTATCTATCTATCTATCTATCTATCTATCTATCTCTTTCTCGCTCTTTCTCTCTCTATATATATATATAAATTGTGTGTATTTAGGCAGCATTTTTTCATTAATGCATGTTTCATTAAACAATATAGACAAGTTTTGTCTATTTATT